TTATAAATTGAAGCAATGAGCACAATTTATTCGTTTGTATAGATCAAAATATTTTTGAGGAAAGTCAATTGTCACAAATATGTCTATATACAATGTAGACTATTTGCTTCCAGGGATTTGAATTTAAGTTAAAATGTAAAGCAAAGATAGAATATAAATTAAAGTATCTAAAATCCCGTTGTAATTTTATTCATATAATGCATACATTGTGTTGAAGTCTTTCTTTTATCTTTTTTTTTCCTGGGTTGTCTGAGCTGGTCGAGCTCTAGAATAACTGAAAAAAAAATTATTGAGTTAGGTAAAAATATATATGCATGATTTGAATTACTATTGACCTTAGCCTTTTGACATAGTCTGTAAAACACAATCATAATTGCAAATTACTCTCCATCTGATATGTGTTAACTAGCAATATATGATGCTCTTAAATCTCTTGATTACTATTGACTCATCTCTGAGTTGTGTGTCAACTTCTGTAAGCTTCCAGGACTGCACACCTCTTTTTAATCATGGCTTGGCCTTGATCTTTATGTGTGATAAAAATATGCGCCATTGGAAAGTAAATTGATTTGAGCGCATGCCAACTATTAGGTACTACACGCAACATTTAAAATCTTCATGCTGTGCCTTTGAGACTTCACATTATTGTCAACATATATGCTTTGCTGTTTTAATATATTTTTAATATTAATGAAACTAATGTTAAATTAGTTATCTTAACTTCTCGGGTGTGGGGTTGATATATTTGTCATAGGAAATAACACATTAGCATGTAAATGAGTAAGTATTTGAATAAACTTTTGATTGAAATTTTATTTTTTGGCAAATTTTAATTGAAACCTTCATGAAGGGTTAAAAATAACAGGACTTATAAAAAAATGTTTCTCATCTAAGAAGATATTCATAGGAAGGAAGTCTGGAGCAATTATTGCATTTTTTGGTGTTATTAGAGACCCAGGTCCTTCTATCTTTGTTCTCAGCCATCCCCTGTGTAGCTAACGGCCTTGTCTTCACAAGATAGGTGCTGATTGGAAGGACCAGGCCCATGTTCCAAGCAAAAATTAGGGGTTGATTAAAGGGCAAAAAGCATGCACCAGTGAGTCCACTAACATTGCAAGAGTTTTTCTAGAAGCATCACCAGGCAAGTTCTACCTGTCATTAACAGCAATTTTAGCCTCAATAAACTTGTGGAATGTAGTATTCCATTTGGGAAATTTGTCAGCTCACATAAACTATAGATTTTGTTAATAAGGCAGAGACAGGTAAAGAATATTAGGTAAGCAATAATCAGGACATGTCTCAAAATGTGAGAGATACAATATGATACATCAAACTTCATCAGAAACACCAAGAAGCCTGAAATGTTGCAATAAGCTTAATGAGAAGGGGACTCAGTCAGGTAGCCTGAGTCCTATAGATTCAAAGTGTATTCAAATTGAGGAACATGTGGAATTATTATTTTAAATATATATTTGTAAAGTTACATTACAGATGTGTACTCCTTATTCTTTAAATGTCTAGAATGATTACATCTATAGTTATTTATACAGTTATTTAATATAAGTAAATTACTACTAGTAGTTCTAATGTTTTCAGTCCTTTGTGCATGTGTGTGTGTGTGTGTGTGCATGTATTCATACATATATGTCCCAAAGATTTTTTAGAGGCATACGATTTCATGGATTTGCTTAAATTTCTTTATAGCCCAAAGCTAATTTTTAAAGTTAGGATTAAAGGCCAAGTATAGGAATTAGTACAAATACAAGTACCATAGATAAATATCTACTGATAGCTATAATGATGTCTCTCTAGCAAGTTTAAAGATTTTTTCCTCATATCCTTGCTTGCCCTATGAAATTTCACCTGCTTTCAGTACAAGGATCTATCAGCAATGTTCTTTGATTTCACAGGGATTTCACTATTTGCAATCAGCAAATAACCCCAATTGACTCAAGGCCTTAATAGAACTATTTTTATCAAGAGTATTTTGTATTAAATAGTACCCTTGATAAAGAGAGAGGGAGAGAAAGAAAAGGAGGAAGGAAAGAAGGGAGGGAGGGAGGAAGGAAGCTAGATTCATTACCTCTTCTCTTTGTAAAACATGTTTGAGCTCCTACTACTTGCCAGGTACTAGGCAGAACTTGCAGCATTGTTCTAACTACCAGAAAACTTAAAAAAAAATTCTTTGGATTAATGGAGTTACCATTAAAATGAAGGGAGAAAATAAATAAGCAAATAAATGTGTGAGACGTCAGAAGTTGTTAAGTACTATAAGGAAAAATAACTCACTGCAAGGGAATTGTGATAAGAAACTGCTGTTTCATACAGAGGGAGCAGGAGATGTATTTCTTGGTAAGCTGACAATTAGTGGAAAGCAGAAAAAAGTGCTGGAATGAAACAGTAGATATTTGGAGGAAGAGCGGGGAGGCAGAAGGAAGAGTACATGTAAGGTCTCTGAGGTGAGAGAACATTCCCAGAACAGCAAAGCCAGCAGGTTGCAGAGGCAAGGAAGCAAGAGAGAAAGGAGGGGAGCAGTGGTAGGGCGAGGCCAGAGGAAGGAGCAGAGTTTACCAGGCCACAGCAGCATCTCTGGATTTTATTCTGAATTAAATATGAGTACATCATGGGGCTTGAGCTGACATAATCTGGCTCTCTTGCAGATTGCTTGATGGAGAATAGAGTGGAAGGAACAAATCTATTTTTATGTTTATTTCTGCCATTTTCTCGTGTGCTTTATCACCCCAATTGACCTATTCTAAAATAGTGGTATATAAGTCTATGTTGTCAGAAATCTGTTCTATTTCTTCCCTGTATTCCTTCAGAGGGTGAGGATTAATTAGCAATATCCTAACAAAATGCCTGAGTTTATGGCTTTGTTTGGCTGAAAGCCTTAAAATTTGATTATGTGTGTTGCAGTATTTGTAAGTATCTTTTTATTTGACTTTACCTTGAATTTTTTGTTTATATCTACTAATATATAGTAAATATTAAAATATTATTTCTTTTCACACATATGCACATACATACATTGATACTAACAATAAACAGTACTCAATCTTTATCCCCAAATATGACCCTTACCTTGTCTTTTATTTTTTAATTACCTGATAATTCAAATTCAGATAGATAACTTGAGTATATGTTAAGTGCACTTCTTTTTTTAAAAAAATTCTGTTCTGAACAATTGTGCTAAATTTCACATATACATTTTAAAGACTATTTAGTATCTCTGGCAAATTTTGGTGTCTTAGTTTTAAGCTTTCTGTTATTCCATATCTCTTTTTTTTCAGTTTCATTTTCTCTGTTTTTATTGTATATCTTCTACTCTTTTGAAGTGTACATGCAGTATGTTTTGTGTTTTTGCCTACTTCCAAAATATATCTCTATTTTGCCCTTTGTGATAGTCATTAGTGCTTTTCACATAGATCTGCTGGCTCTTTGGCTTTCAAACAGATGGTAAGATTTCTCATTCTAGTCTGTTTCTGGTTGGGTACGCCCATTGGTTAGTTGTATTCAATGTGATGGGAGCAGGAATTCCACAATGCTGGTATTTGAATGTTGATATGATGTGATCCAGGGATCTCTATTTCCTTCATGGCAACCAGCAATATTTATGATGGCTCCTTCTCCATTGTTCTGTAACTGTGAATGTCTATAACGAATAACTCCCACCCCCAGCATCCCTCAACCAATCATAAAATGTCATGTAGAATGAGGGATAAATTATCCATTGTTGTTTAAGCTACTAAATACTCGAGTATGTAGCATCACATATTCCCTCTTAAATAATATGAAAATACTACCTAAAGTGTGGATGCATCTATAACAAAAAGGGTAACATGTATGTCAATCTCAGATGAGAAATTTGGTGGAAATACTCGAAACTATTACAGGAGGCAGGATGATTCATCGTTCATATTATAAGGAAGCAAAATCTGCAGTTCTGGAGAAGAGATTTAAAAACTGAATTTTATCATTGTGGGTTTGCTGCTCTTGTCTGTGTTTGAAAGTTGTTACAAGAAAAAGATAAGATTGTAAAATAGTTGTCTAATTTCAAATTAGAAATGGAGAATAGAGGAATCCAAAAATCCAATAATTTATAGGGCGTGAATAAATTATTGCTTTTCAATCCCAAACAGTCATACAATTAGGAAAGCCTTTCAGCAAAAAAGCAGATTAAAACTCAACTTGCAGCTAAGATCAAATTAAGGGGTTTGGCTGTCACATCCATAGCTAGAAACCCATGAAAAAAGATTAAGTCATTACCAAGTAAAACCCTTTTTATTGGACTAAATGACTCAAAGCAAATTTGCTCAGTGCTGAGTGTGTGGTGGAACCACAGAAGCCTGCTAGGCTTAAATTATTCCTTTAGGGAGAGGGAGGGAGAAAGAGAGAGAGAGAGAGAGATCCATGGAGGCTGTTAGCAAAAAAAGAGAAATCTAAAACAAACAAACAAAGATGAACAACAACAATAAACCCTTCAAGTGTGGCAATTAGCACACAAAGTTAATAGGAATAAAACAGAAAAGAAAAACACAATACTATGCCTTTGAGATAATTTGCAAAATACTTACCAATTTAGAACAAAAATATCTGTCCCTTTAAGACTTAAATGACCCTTGAAGCAGAAAAGAGGCTGAGGAAGATGCTCAGCCACCAAAAGTCATAATTTCCAATACTCACTTCAGTAGGTGCCAAGGTATTTAAAGAAAAAGAAGAACTTCTCAGAGAGTCCAGAGATAAGAGACAAGTGCTACAGACCACAATGGATTTGATTTCCGCCTCCCAGATATTGAGAGCCCAAGAATAACAAGGTTTATTCTTCCACTTCAAGGCAGAAGGCCATTAAAATTTTTGTCCCCTGGGGCCGGCCAGGTGGCATAGCGGTTAAGTTCCTCTGCTCGGCTTTGGCGGGCCCAGGGCTCCTGGGTTCGGATCCCAGGTGAGGACAGATGCACCACTTGTCAAGCCATGCTGTGGCGGCGTCCCATATAACTTAGAGGAAGATGGGCATGGATGTTAGCCTAGGACCAGTCTTCCTCAGCAAAAGGAGGAGGATTGGCAACAGATGTTAGCTCAGGGCTAATCTTCCTCAAAAAAAAACAAAAAACAAAAAACTTGTCCCCTGATATAGTAGAATTTCAGTAGACCAGGGTTTCATGTGTCTCTCCACCCCTCAAATTTTTTTTTCCATTTTATCAATGAGAGTTTTTTCATTTATTGTTTCTTTAATCAATAGACTATTTTTTAGAGTAGTTTTAGGTCTGCAAACAAATTGAGCCAAAAAACAGTTCCCATATACCCTCTCTTTCCTTATACAGATTCCCCAATTATTAACACCTTGCATTTGTATGTAACATTTATTACAATTGAAGGACAAATATTGCTTGTAACTAAAGTCCACTATTATTGACTAAAGTCCATAGAATTAGAGTTCACTGTTTGCAGTGTACAGTTACATGGGTTTTGACAAATGCATGATACCATATCTGCACCATGATTGTATCATACAGAATTGTGTCATTACCCTAAAAATTCCCTATGCTCCATCTATTCATCTCTGCCTTTCTCACTCCAAATCCCTCGCAGCCACTGATCTTTTTACTATCTCAGTAGTTTTGCCTTTTCCAGAATGTCAAATATTTGGAATCACAAATCACAGTTTTTTAAAATGTCATCTTTTTCCTATTTTCCCTTGTTTATTGGATGACTGAAGGACAGATAATGTGTCTTTGTAGTTCATAGGTTCCCAGATCAGAAGAAGCTACATCTGGTCTATGGTTCAGCCAGAGGACTTTGCGTTTGATGCCGTGATTGGTAAACTGGCTGTTTGGTGCCCCAAAGAGCATCATTATATGTCTAGCTTTGGTCTAATGAAATGTGAGTGTAAGTCATTTTCAGTAGTTCTTAGTGGAATTTTTAAAAGCCAGTGTACAAATCACTATGCATTAGTACTTTCTTGCTTGATGACTTCTGATGCTTGAAAAGTTGGCTTTGCTGTTAATCTCTATCACCAAATAACCACATACTGAACAGAAACATCAACAGTTGACTTGCAATAATATGTAATTAGAGAGGGATGGTGGTCAAACCTGGTTCACTGAGATTTTAATTTTTGATACCTCC